TTACCTGTTTACAGTTTATTTGTAAATATTCAATAAACCGTTATTTTATTTAAAAGTTTGTGATCTTGCTTTCTTATTTTTCTGGCAAGTTTTGCCATTTCTGCATATTCCATAAGTTTTTGTATCCATCCTTCCTTTGCTGGGTCTTCTGCTTCTTCCCATTTTGGGGCAAGTAACATTCTTGCTGCTGTAGTCGCATACATGAATAAATTTCTATACAGTTTGGGTACTTCTGTCCCTACAATTCCCAAATAACATTCCTATAATGCCCTGTGTTATTATTCATCATTCATATTATTACCAGCACCAGAATGAGATCATAAAGGCCAATCTCTCTCCTTCAAGTGGACAACATCAGCACGAGGACACAATGAGAAGTCTCTCTCCTTCATTGGCCACTATCAACATGAGGTCACAATGGCCAGTCTCTCTCTCCCTCTTTAGGGAGGCAGCATCCTCATGAGGTCACAATGGCCAGGTGAGGGTCAGAAAAAAACAGATCACAGCAGGCTGTGTGTGCAGATAGTAGATGCAAGTATAGCCTGGCACCCCAAATTCAATGGTGAGCCTTCATAGTCCAGTAGCTGTCGCAGGTTGAGGGCAGAGTAGAGAGAAGAGATGTATTGGGCAGCAACTGATGGGCAAAGCAGCAGTAGAACAGCTGAGAGGAGACTACAGTGGTACCTCGGGTTACAGACGCTTTAGGTTACAGACACCTCAGGGTACAGACTCCGCTAACCCAGAAATAGTACCTCGGGTTAAGAACTTTGCTTCAGGATGAGAACAGAAATGGTGCGGCAGCGGCGTGGCGGCAGCAGGAGGCCCCATTAGCTAAGGTGGTGCTTCAGGTTAAGAACAGTTTCAGGTTAAGAACGAACCTCCAGAACAAATTAAGTTCTTTACCTGAGGTACCACTGTACAGAAGAAGAGAGGAAGAATAGGAGGAAGCACCCAGCACTTGGAGAGGAAGAGAGAAGGTAATTTGGACAGGAGCAGCAATGCTCACCTGATTTCTTATTCTTCTGGCAAGTTTCGCCATTTCTGCATATTTCGTAAGTTTTTGTATCCATCCGTCCTTTGCTGGAACTTCTGCTTCTTTCCATTTTGGGGGAACATTCTTGCCACTGTAGTCACATACATGAATAAATTTCTATACAGTTTAGGTAGTTCTGTCCCTATAATTTTTCTGTGAATTTCTCAAAGCCTTCCAAGCTGGTGGCCACATCTTGTGGCAGTGAATTCCATAAATTAATTCTGTCCTGTGAGCAGAGGTCCTTCCTTTTGTCTGTCTTGAATATTCTCTGCCAATCAGTTTTAGCAGGTGTCCCCAAACTCTAGTACTATAGGTGGTGATTTCAGACCTATCAAGTGTCCCTATTTTCCAGGTACCGTCCTGGATTTACAGAAGCCATCCCAGAATGTCCTTAATTTCCTTAGGACATCCATATTTTCATTGGATAAATGTTGCAGCCAAGGAGATAACTATTCAACTTTTAGAAGACATCTGAAGACAGCCCGGTATAGGGAAGTTTTTTATTATTTTTATATATATGTTGGAAGCTACCCAGAGTGGCTAATAATAATAATAGGGACGTGGGTGGCGCTGTGAGTTAAACCACAGAGCCTAGGACTTGCCGATCAGAAGGTCAGCGGTTCAAATCCCCGTGACGGGGTGAGCTCCCATTGCTCTGTCCCGGCTCCTGCCAACCTAGCAGTTCGAAAGCACGTCAAAGTGCAAGTAGATAAATAGGTACCGCTCCGGTGGGAAGGTAAACGGTGTTTCTGCGCGCTGCTCTGGTTCGCCAGAAGTGGCTTAGTCATGCTGGCCACATGACCCGGAAGATGTGCGCCGGCTCCCTCGGCCAATAAAGCGAGATGAGCACCGCAACCCCAGAGTCGGCCACGACCAGACCTAAAGATCAGGGGTCCCTTTACCTTTACCTAATAATAATAATAATGGAATAGGATGTCCGTATTTTCATTGAGGAAATTATTTTTATTCTGTGAAGGATGTGCCCAAGTTCCATTGATTATTTGTTCATTCTTTTTTGCATCCCCTTTTCGCTTTCGCGGTAACACTTTATTTTTATTATTAATTATTATTATAAATTTTTAAATTACATTTTCTGTTTTACAATTTAAAATACTCATACAGTGTCTAACCTCTGCAGTCATTCTTTCGGCATGTGATATTTTTCTTTATTTTACTGACTTAAAAAAAATTGGGATTCCCAGACAGGATGAGAACAGATTTAATCTTCCCTTTTTCATTCAGAAGTCTTGGCATTCCCACAGGAAATAAACAACAGAATTCTCAAAACAGGCTCCTCATCCCTCCTCACCTGCCAGTCCCCCATCCCCCATCTCATCAACTAATTATTAAAGCAGGTATCACCATTAATACTTAAGATATATGAAGTGTCCACTTTTTGTTCCATATCTGGTGCTATTCCAGCCTCAGGCAACTTAACATTCCTCCTAAAAGCAAGAGGCTCTCTGGTTCCCACAGAGTCGTTCAAAGAATGACTCATATTCCTTATGTTAATTGTTCAGTTCTCAAAATATAGCACTTATAGGGTGTGGCTCTGAGGGGAAAATCTACTATACTTACTGGGCATGTTGAGAAGTGTTTCACATATACATCATTTTTCCCTTGTTATTTTTCAAAGCTTTAACCCTTTTCGGCCCCCTCTACGGACAAATGCTGTAAAGCAAACCAAAAGTCAAAGAGTGCAATCTTTTCCACTCAGCAACACTTTTCCCTCAGCTAAACTGCAAAGCAGGTTTAAGCCACAAGTTAAAAAGCATGCATGAATCTGGCCTTGCAAGACTCTTCTTCATGTCATAAAGGCACAACGTTATGTGACATGGGAGAAGTGAGGCACGTTTTGCTTCAATGATGCTCTGAGGACCGAGGCCTCCAATTTTGGATCGAATAGGCGAGAAGGCAAATGGAAGCCATGCCTTTTCGCCTCAGCTAGATGGTCAGATTTCAAGTATTCAGAAGGGTTGCAGTGAGGAGCGTGACTTTTACAGGAGCAGTGTGTGGGGGATACATAAATAAAAATTTTCATTCCGTTCATATATAGGTTTTAATAATGAAGAGAACAATCACGGTTCTGTGTGCATGTCTGAACATATATATTTATTAAAGTCACTTTGTTGTTGTTGTCATTTAGTCGTGTCCGAGTCTTCGTGACCCCATGGACCAGAGCACACCAGGCACTCCTGTCTTCCACTGCCTCCCACAGTTTGGTCAAACTCATGCTGGTAGCTTTGAGAACACTATCCAACCATCTCGTCCTCTGTCATCCCATTCTCCTTGTGCCCTCAATTTTTCCCAGCATCAGGGTCTTTTCCAGGGAGTCTTCTCTTCTCATGAGGTGGCCAAAGTATTGGAGCCTCAGTTTCAGGATCTGTCCTTCCAGTGAGCACTCAGGGCTGATTTCCTTCAGAATGGATAGGTTTGATCTTCTTGCAGACCATGGGACTCTCAAGATTCTCCTCTAGCACCATAATTCAAAAGCATAATTCAAAATGAAAGTCACTAGCAAAGCTGAATATGATGGATGGATAGACAGAGTTTTGCAAGTCTCTGTATCTCATGTAGTTAATATGGGAGATCATAGGAATCCTTCAGAGAATAACGGAATAGACACAGCTCCATTAACTCTTCAATAACAAGTGGCAAAGCAAGCTGCTGTTGTCTGCTACACATACTCCTGGCATCTGTCACAATTCGAACCACAGAGACATCAAATATTTGCCATCAATTTCTTCAGATGGCTTGGAATCCAGCTCATTGGCCTTATTTGTTTGGCATTGAGTTCAGTGGCTCAAAAATGTGTAGCAGGAGATTATTGCAGGAAAGATTGCCCTTGGCTTAGTGCAAATTGGTGTCCCTTTTTTTCTGGAGATGTGGAAGAGGTAATAAAGAATACATGTATAAACTTGGGGGAAATGAGTAAAACGAGTAAGCTGGCAAAAATGTATAAATCTAAATCAAATAAGTGTTAGAAATGTAAAGAGAAAGAAGGTTCTTTTTATCATATGTGGTGGTCTTGTAGTAAGGTTAAGGCTTACTGGAATATGATATATAATGAAATGAAAAGGATGTTTCAAATAACCTTTGTAAAAAACAAACAAACCAGAAGCTTTTCTTTGGGGAATTATAAGGACAGATCTACCATCTGCACACACAGCTTGCTGTGATCTGGTTTTTTCTGACCCTCTCCTGGCCATTGTGACCTCATGAGGATGCTGCATCCCTGAAGGAGAGACAGAGAGACTGGTCATTGTGACCTCATGTTGATAGTGGCCAATGAAGGAGAGAGACTGCTCATTGTGTCCTAGTGCTGATGTTGTTCACCTGAAGGAGAGAGATTGGCCTTTATGATCTCATTCTGCTGCTGCTGATAATAATAATATGAATGATGAATAATAATACAGGGCATTATAGGAACATTATTTGGGAATTATAGGGACAGAAGTACCCAAACTGTATAGAAATTTATTCATGTATGCAACTACAGCGGCAAGAATGTTGCTTGCCCAAAATGGAAAGAAGCAGAAGTCCCAGCAGCGGAAGAATGGATACAAAAACTTATGGAATATGCAGAAATGGTGAAACTTACCGGAAGAATGAGAAATTTCTCATTCTGTGATAATTCCCCCCCCCCAAAAAAAGTATGGAAATCGTTTGTTGACTATTTACAGATAAACAGATAAGAACATTGGCAGGATTATTGCAATAACCTGCAGTTTCAGAAGAGTATATATTTAAAGAAGATGAATTAATGAGCAAAATAAGTTAATTTGGATATGCAGAAGATACTAAAAACAAATTTAAAGAACCACAGAAAGAGGGAGAAGGAAATCAAGTTCTGAAATGTCAAAATGATTGTAAAATCAGTAAAATGTATAAAGAATACATGTATACTGTAACGTTTTGAAAAAGTGGCGCTTTTCGTTTGAAAGCTTTGCATTACCTTTTGGATTAGGAAGAGACCCTTCCTCCTGGGACGTCTGAATATTTCGGAGAATCTGCGGCAACTTCCCTGACTCAGCAGGAAAAGCAAGAGGCCCTGAAAAAGATGTGAGTGCTCTCCCTGCTCTCTCTCACACACCACATACAGGTTTAAGATGGGAATACCTGATAGTGACAAGGCTGCAGCACAGTCCCCAAAGTCCCCACATCATTCATGCATATGCATGGTTTTTAATAAAAGCAACCTCCTAGAAATAAACAGCAAAGACGAACAACTGGAACCCACACAGGGTGGGTGGGAAGGGACTGTTTCATTCGTACCCTTCCAACTTTCTCTCACAGTTAATTGATCATGGGGAGAGTTGGGTCTTAGGTGGTCAGGGTGGCGGTCCAGTCACCAGTCTAGCTGCCACATTCTGGATTAGTTGTAGTTTCCAGGTCACCTTCAAAGGTAGCCCCAGGTAGAGCACATTGCAGTCGTCTAAGCAGGAGATAACGAGGGCATGCACCCAGGGCTGTCTTAAGCATATGCGGAGCTGGGGTGCAAAGATCCGCCCAGTGCTCCCCCCCCCCCGGTTGCCCAGTCCCGGGTGCGGAGGGTGTATCCAGCTGGCCGCCTCAGCGTCTCGCCCCCAAACTTGTGGCACAGAGCTGCCCGCAACAAAAGAGCTAGCCGTGGTGCTCCAACCGACGGGCAGGCTCTTCTCTGGACTCAACTCTTGGGCCCTGGACTCTTGGTCTGGTGCCACAGAGAGCCCAGTGCCCAGGTGCCCTGCACCCCTAGCACCTATGGGTAAGACGGCCCTGCATGTACCCCTCTGGCAAGACAGTCTGTGGGCAGGTAGGGTCTCAGCCTGCATACCAGATGGAGCTGGTAGACAGCTGCCCTGGACACAGAATTGACCCATAGCATTTGGGTGCTTCTTTCTGCTGCCAGGTATATGGGATTAGTCCTTGGCCCACTTCTTGTTTTGGGGTGTAATGAGAGGTATTCTACCCCCTTGCTGTTTTTTCTTTCTTTCTGGAAATGGATATGCTTCCTAGCCCATCTGACAGAGCCATCTGTCTAACATGTAGCAATACATATGATGCATTTATTCAGAATTCAAAATAGAAATTCATTTTGCAACAGGCCAAAATGAAACCACGTGTCCAAATGAATTGGGCGGGCAGGGCAAAGGTGCTTGCTCCCCTTCGTAAGTTACCAGTTGGCTGCTCAATATTCCTTTGATCCTTGCATTCCCAGAGCTTGCACTGCTTGGGAATTGAATCAGTTCCCAAGGTATAGAATAAAATTTGGGTCCTTTCTCTGCTCGTTTGGAAAGCAGCTGAGGGTCCTTTATGCTTAAGTAATCACTGGGCCAAGGAACATTCCTGTTCTCCTCTGTGCTCTTTACGCCAACCGCAAATATTAGTGTTAGTTGAACTTCAGCCTTCATTATGCTGTGGCCTTTGCACAGAGGACTTATCCCCCACTTTAACTTAGCCTTAAAGCTGAGATTTCCTGACAAAATCCAAGACACTGCCCTCTTCGTTCTGCCTGCGGTTAACAGCCTAGCCTGTTTAAAGTTCATCTGTGCCAGTGGCATGTGCTAGGGAAAGGCATTTGATAGCATGTTGTCTGGGCTTTTCATCTTCCTCCTTTTGTCTCCTGGAAGATCACCCAGCTCCTTAACTACATGTTTCCCCAGATAGCCGGGGAACGACTATAGCCATGGGCACATCAGTCTGGAGAAGTGAGAATGTGGGTGGGATGCAGGAAACCACATGTTGGTCACTTTGAGGCAGTGGTGTAACAGCATTTGCTGGTGCCCGTGGAGCACAGAGGGCGAATGGAGCCCACCCTGCCAGCCCAGCCCTTGCCACCAAAGCCAGGTGGGGCCACGCTGCACTGCCTGGCCAGCCAGCATGGCTCTTGGGGGGCGAACCCCCCCCAACGCCTTTAGAGAGGAGGGCCAGGCTGGGGTTGCCCCATGCCTGCCTCCCTCTGTCTGAGCTCGTTCACCATCTGAGTGACGAGTGAGCGAGCACTGGCTGAGTGGTCATTCAGCAAGAGGGCCAGGGATGCGGTGGCATAGGGGCCCAAAGACCCCGGTGTCAGGCAGGGTGGGACTTTTTCAAAAGGTTTTGCTCCACACAACCGTAAGGATACATCTGACAATGAAGAGAATATGGCCAGCGGGGAAGTAGAATGGAAATCCAGTTGATTCTCAGTTTCTTGGCTTCAAGTTTGTTTGTTTCCAGAAGGCTGACTAAGTAGTTTATGGGCTGCCCATCCTCATCTGTTCAATTGGAGGCAGCAGGTCCCTGGATGTAAAGGAATGCATATGTGGATCTACCTCCATTGGAATGTATCAGCCAACCCATAGGGGCACATGAATTCAGCATGGGAATCACAACACTTCCATACCTCTGCTAAATGTTTATTTGAAAGATTTTCACCCTGGTCCAAAAATCAACAAGGCGATTTATGATCACCTAAAATGCATATCAAAAGGGACACAGGTGGCGCTGTGGGTTAAACCACAGAGCCTAGGACTTGCTGATCAGAAGGTTGGCGGTTCGAATCCCTGCGATGGAGTGAGCTCCCGTTGCTTGGTCCCTGCTCCTCCCAACCTAGCAGTTCTAAAGCATGTCAAAGTGCAAGTAGATAAATAGATACCGCTCCGGCGGGAAGGTAAACAGCGTTTCCGTGTGCTGCTCTGGTTCGCCAGAAGCGGTTTAGTCATGCTGGCCACATGATCCAGAAGCTGTACACCGACTCCCTTGGCCAATAAAGTGAGATGAACGCTGCAACCCCAGAGTCGGTCACGACTGGACCTAATGGTCAGGGATCACTTTACCTTTACCTTTAAAATGCATATCAACGTAAAACCAAGGCAGAGAAAAGAAAAACATGCATGGTGTTTAAATTAAGGATGCACACCAGCATAACAGAAAATCTAAAATGGGTAAGCATTGGCACAAACCTCAAGTAATGTGGCGAGTTGTGAAAATATTGAGGTTTGGTCATCAAATTTTATGAGTTTGTTGCCTTCCATCCCCCAATTTTTCAGGCTCTCCCTCTCTGGAATCCATAAATGAAATGGACCAGTCCCTAGGACTCCCAGAACCATCCCTCTCACCTGTTCTTGGCCCCAATCTTACCTGGCTATAGTAGCTCATAGAAGGGCTTCCATAGTCTAGGAAAGCGCTGCAAAGATATGCAACAGCCAGTATCAAGTCTGCAAGGAAGCATGGGAAATGTATTTCCCAAACAACATTCTTCAATCTAGGATTACCAACGTCCTGCCCTCTAGATGTTGTAGACTACATCTCCCCTTGGCCATACTGGCACTGAAGGGAATTGGAGTCTAAAACATCTGGAAGATGTTTTGGCTACCCATGCTCTGCTGCCGTGAGCATCCAGAAGATGTTTGTCACCGTCATTCCCCCAGAATCGTTTTCCAGTGTGGACTGGGAAGAGAGGGTTCTCTCTAATATTAAATCACAGGACTGAGAATGGTGTGCTATGTTCATCTGCTATAATCTGGCGTCCACTGTGTTTATGAAAACGGCATACAATTTGTGCAAGCCGAAAAGTCTAGAATCCCTCTCTGGGCGCATAGGTCTTTATATCTTTTTTTAATTTATTTTCCTGAAAACATTGTCTTTCAGTGGGGAAGGATGTGAAGACAACGTGCATTGTGGGTTGTAACATCTGGATAAAATTCTGCCCTGTCCTGTGGATTTGGACCCGAAGCCCTGCACAACTCATTCTTTCGTAAATCCAATTCCCCCATTGCAGACGGCGGCGGCTTGATCCTACCCATACTGGGCAAGCCGTAGGTGTTTGCCAAGACAATAAGCAGGCTTGTCATTGACAAAAGCCGATCCTCCCTTAGCCTCCCTGAATTCGTAGAAAGAGCAAAGCTGTTGCGAGCTACGCGTTATTAAAGAAAAATATCTCTTTTTAAAAATTCTTATTAGAGTGAAGAGGACCAAAACAAAGAAAGCTGACGAGAGCAAGCAGACCAGCAAGGACACCGTGAAAGTATATCTTGGCTCTCTGCACTCAGACAGGGAGTAGGAAGAATGCATCTCCAGCTCCTTCCGATGCTCAGCCCGAAGCAAAAAACGTAGGCGTGGAGCTCGACCAAAGGATTGCATAAATACAGCTGAGAGCAGCTTGGGGCTTCCTGTTTCAGAATGGGACAAGTGATGTGAATTGGAGACAGCCGAGCCGTGCAGCCGGCCAGCAAAAACTTCATTTTGCGGCGTGGTTAGACAGGGCTTCGACGCAGGAACCCTCGGCGGTGCTGTGAGTCAGCAGCCCTGCCACATCCAAACCAAAGTCAAAGGGTGACTGAAACGACTGCTGTCCTGTCCTGCAGGAGCAATAAGGTTGTCTCCGAGGCAGGATCACTCTGTTCCCAGACTTGCAGTCGTGCTGGTTGTCCGGGGACATCTTTCAGAGAAGTTCCCCCCACCCCACCCCCAAATCCCACATTGTTTTTTCTACACGAGGCTTTGGCAGGAACCAAGTCTGATGGAGAGTTGCTTACTCGAAGAAAAAGCCTTCCTGAGAGACTTGTTTTTATGAGAAATAGGACGGCCCCGTCATTGCAGACAAACCAAAACCGACTGCAGTCACGAAAGAATAACCCTTAACGCTTAACCCCTCATATGCCAAGCTTGCAGAGAGACTCATTCAGTGTGTGTGTGTGTGTGTGTGTGTGTGTGTGTGTGTGTGTGTTGGCTGGGAATTGCGGGGGTTGGGGGAAAGGCCATCCTAAAAGCAAGCCACAGAAAAATACAGTTCCCCAAATTTAAAGCTATGATGATTCCGTCTTCCGCCAGGGCCATAGTTAATATATATTGGTTTCTTGGTGGGCTTGCTAAGTAGCTGCAAGTATCATCTAAATGGGCATTTCTCCTGAACTTTCTTAAGGTTTCAGATCCGTGACATCACTGAAATGTAACAAGAAACAAGTTCCATATAGCATTGTATTCTACACCTGGTAGTGATCTACAACAGGTAATTGGAGAAATGAGTTTTGATCTGTTTTTGGCTTCCCTCAAAGACCCTTCTTCATTTTGTCATGAATCCATTATGGGCCTTTATCTGCTGCAGTTGTTTACAACCTAATTGTCATCATTTACTTCCATGGGAATCAAACTGTTTTTTTGTATAGCTTTTAATATGCAAAAGCCATTTAGAAGAAATAGAGTGCGCTGAATGGAATATATTTTCCCAGCCAGCAGGTTGGGAAGAGAGAGAGAAGCAGAAAGGATAAGATTAAGCCCACCCCTTTACCTCGAATCCACTTAAATTTGTTTGGAGCTAAACCTCTATTATTGGATTATTATGAGATTTACTATTCACTTGACTCACTTTTCTTTCTCCATTGCAATAAATGTTTACGAGGACATTAAAACTGCATCAGAATTGCTTTAAGGAGGCTTGAGATCTAAGAGCTCGCAAAACTCAGCAGTGCAATTGATCAGGGAGATAATACACCCATTTTCTTTACTTCTCTGATGCACGTTTGCCCCCATTTTTATGCTTGAGAAAACTGCTGAAAGGATCTGATCGGTCCAAGATCATCTAGTAAAGTTTCGTGGAAAGTGGAGATTCAAACTGCTGCGATATTCCACCCATATCACTGCCCTTGTGCAGTGATTGGTGTACTCAGCTGTTTCCAGTGTTAGTTGCTTGTGGGTTGCATGAAAGGTGGCAGACGATTGCTTGTATGTGAGCTAGGCAGTCGCTTCATTCCACAATTTGTTTTAAATTCTTTCTTTTTAATATATAATTTTTATTACATTTTCTGTTTTACAATTTAGAATACTCATTTTTGACCAACCTTAAGGTATCAATGCCTTCCCTTCTTCTCCTTCCATGGTTCATTTTCATAACATAAATCCCTGCATGTTTTATATAAAACAAACCATTCAGTATTCCAGTATTACATCCATCAAAACTTACCTAAACTGTTGAATTTATCTTAATGAAGCCAACGTTTTCAAGTGTACACAATTTGCCCCCATATATTCAATAAACGCTTTCCCGTCTTCTTTAAACGTATGTTCTTCTTGTTCTTTTATTCTATATGTTAGGTCCGCAAGTTGCGCATATTTGAGTCAGGTTTCCTCAACTCGGCCCTCCAGATGTTTTTGGCCTACAACTCCCATGATCCCTAGCTAGCAGGACCAGTGATCAGGGATGATGGGAATTGTAGTCTCAAAACATCTGGAGGGCTGAGTTTGAGGAAGCCTGGTTTAAGTTGTTCTTCTTTAGTTGGAATCTCGCTCATTTTCCATTTTTGGGCTTACGAAACACGGGCCGCAGTAGTGGCTTACATAAACAACCTTTTTTGACACCTGGGAATTTCCATCTGAATTATCCCCAACAGAAAGGAGTCTGATTTTTTTTTCAAAAAGTGCTTTTAAACATTTTTTTCAATTCATTATAAATTATTTCCCAATACTCTTACCCTTTTACAGATCCACCACATATGAAAGAACATACCCTCAACCTCATTGCATCTCCAATACTTTTCTGATTCAGTCTTATACATCTTAGAAAGCCTATTCGAAGTTAGGTACCATTTGTAAATCATTTTCGGGTACTTTTCCTTCAAGGAATAACATGCTGTTTTCTTTTTTCTACCTTTTGTGTCTTGCCCCTTGGGGCAAAGAGCTGTTTCAGAAAGTGATTTCAGCTGAGAAAAACAGCTCAGAGGACAGGATAATAAAAAAAAACCCTCCCCTTTTGCCAGCATTGCGATCCTGATCAGAAAATGTTCCGTTTAAGAAACCTCATTGGATCTCTCAATGGCTAGCTCGCCTTGTTTGGCTCTAAATTACAACAGTAATCTTATTTTATTTTTCAAAAAGTTAAGTAGGCATGCAGTGACTTGCGCGTAGGAAATCACCCTGTTCTTTTTTGTTTTCTTAAAAAATAAAAAATAAAATCATTTTTTTGTCCATTAATACATTCTCTCCCCGCTTTGTCAAGACTCATTTACCTGATTTATTCTATGAGTCTTAGCATGTTTGAGCAAGCAGGGCCCAAACATCACAGCTTTAGTTTCTTAAATACTTCAAATCCTTTCCTTGTATAAGGAGGAGGGGGAAACTCAGTACTCAGTTTAAACAATTACGGAAGGAAAGTGTCTGATCTCATGTAGCGTGTAGAGTATATTACTAGACTGAATGGGTCTGTGGGTATATATGAATTTTCTTTCTTGGGGGAATACCCCTTTAATCAAATTTCCCCTTAACTGAATAGTGAATAGAATGAAATGCGCCTGTTTTTCATCATGAAAGGGCACACATCGGTAAAAGATATCATGGTTGTTGTGTAGAACCACTAGGTACTACACCATTCTTGGTCTTTGTCTTCTTTGGTGATCACTCGCAGCCGAGTAAGATTGTCTTCCATAAACACGGTTTTAACAATGAGTCTGTAAGTGACTGTGGAGGCCAATTCTGGATCCACACGTCCTTCCACAGTGAGGACATTGGTTTCCGGGCAGGAGTTGATCACGGTGTGGATTTGCCAAGCATACCTTCCTCTTAGCACGTTTCTCCCTTGTGTCCTGAGTTCAAGTGTCTTCAAAGCCCATGACACCTTTGGTAAAGGCTGTTCTCCAACTGGAGCTCTCGCAGGTCAGTGTTTCCCAGTTGTCAGTGTTTATACTACATTTTTTTTAGATTTGCCTTGAGACAGTCTTCAAACCTCTTTTGTTGACCACCAGCATTACACTTTCCATTTTTAAGTTCGGAATAGAGTAGTTGCTTTGGAAGATGACCATCAGGCATCCGCACAACATGACCAGTCCAACGAAGTTGATGTCGAAGAATCATGGCTTTGACACTGGTGATCTTTGCTTCTTCCAGTACACTGGTATTAGTTCGCCTGTCTTCCCAGGTGATATGTAAAAATTTTCGGAGACACCATTGATGGAATCTTTCGAGGAGCTGGAGATGGTGTTTATCTACTTGCATTTTGACGTGCTTTCGGACTGCTAGGTTGGCAGGAGCTGGGACAGAGCAACGAGAGCTCACCCCATCGCACGGATTCGAACCGCCGACCTTCCGATCAGCAAGCCCAAGTGGCTCAGTAGTTTAGACCACAGCGCAACCTGCTCCCTTAGCTGTAGTCTAACCACATCCAGAGGGCTGCATTCTGATCTAGAGAGACGGAGGCCATTTCTTAGGGCCAGAGACTACCGTGACTTGGAAATCTCGCTTGAGGGAAGTGTGGCATTGATGACGGTTATCTCCAGCGAAAGGGGATGAAGGTTTGTTTTAGTGAGATCATGTGAAAAGGGCCTTATGGCAGGTGTGTTTGCAGAGCTGAGTGCGCTGGGAGCACAAATGAGTTGAGTGGATGAGTGCAGTTTTGGGTTGCAGGGGGAGGGGCTGTGGCCGTAACAGCGAATGTAGCCTGGAAACTTGGATTTACCGTATTTTTCGCTTTATAAGACGCACCAGACCACAAGACGCACCTAGTTTTTGGAGGAGGAAAACAAGAAAAAAAATATTCTGAATCTCAGAAGCCAGAACAGCAAGAGGGATCGCTGCGCAGTGAGAGCAGCAATCCCTCTTGCTGTTCTGGCTTCTGGGATAGCTGCGCAGCCTGCATTCGCTCCATAAGACGCACAAACACATTTCCCCTTATTTTTTAGGAGGGAAAAAGTGAGTCTTATAAAGCAAAAAATACGGTAACTGAGTGGGTGTCTTGCACAAATTAGCAGGGAGTGTCACTTCATTGCTGTTGGTTCTGATATTTCCACACCAGGAGTGTCCAAGAACGAAGATTTTATTACACTGGGGGTCAGTGCGTTGTGAGCTTCAATTTAGTCTTCCAGTGCAAACATTCATTTGGATCTCAGTATAGGCTTATAGGCAGCAATTGTTCTCTGAGGCATCTGTGGTGCTCTTAAAACACAGATTAGCAACATATATCAAGAGGGGAGGAATTTTGAAGAAGATGGAAAGTTTTCTGCAAAGGCCGAACAATAGGTTTAAATGACCTTTAATATATATAGTACCATCTCACTGCAAATAACTGAACAATGGAAGATAGTAATTAATTATCCCAGCACTCCAGGTATGAAACAACAGTATTTATGAAGGACTACATAAGGGTGGCGCTGTGGGTTAAACCACAGAGTCTAGGGCTTGCCGATCAGAAGGTAGGCAGTTCGAATCCCCACGACGGGGTGAGCTCACGTTGCTCGGTCCCCACTCCTGCCAACCTAGCAGTTCGAAAGCACGTCAAAGTGCAAGTAGATAAATAGGTACCACTCTGGTGGGAAGGCAAACAGCGTTTCTGTGCGCTGCTCTGGTTCGCCAGAAGCGGCTTAATCATGCTTGCCACATGACATGGAAGCTGTACGCCGGCTCCCTCGGCCAGTAAAGTGAGATGAGCACTGCAACCCCAGAGTCATCCGCAACTGGGCCTAACGGCCAGGGGTCCCTTTACCTTTTACTTAATTCGTTCCGGAGGTCTGTTCTTAACCTGAAACTGTTCTTAACCTGAAGCACCATTTTAGCTAATGGAGCCTCCTGCTGCCACCGCGCCACCGGAGCACGAATTGTGTTCTCATCCTGAAGCAAAGTTCTTAACCTGAGGTACTATTTCTGGGTTAGTGGAGTCTGTAACCTGAAGCGTATGTAACCTGAAGCGTATGTAACCCGAGGTACCACTGTACTTGGAAGATGTAACAGAGGCACTGTTTGAAAGGAGGAAAATGTGGTCAGCTGCAAGAATGATGTAACAGAGATTGATGGATAACAACTGAAAACTAAATAACAAATGATGCAGCTATGGGATGAAATGATGGACTTATGTTTGCAACAGGCGCAGCCTAATTATAAGAAACTGTATTAAAGTAATTAGGTTGGATTTGTAATAAGTTGGAAAATTAATAAAAATAATTGGGGGGGGGGGAATAGTGGAACAAGTATGAGTCAAAGTTCGCCCCCTGTGAACCTATTTCCTTAGACTTGTAGTCCTGTCAAACAGTTCATGTCTATTTTTAGAATGCTTTTAAATTATTTTTAGAATGTATATAATTGTACTTGTTTGAATGACATGTTTCCTGCCCTGGGCTCTTTTGGGAAGAAGGGTGAGATATAAATACTAGTAGTAGTTGTTGTTGTTTGTTTGTTTTCATTGGGGCTGATTGAAATGACCATTCTGGCTTATTCTACCCCTAATCTGTGAAGCATATTTTTTTGTGGTAGTAATGTTTGCTACACTTTGTGATGGCTAGCAATATTATTACAGACACCCCCCTTCTCTTTTTTCTTTTTTTGGCCAAGGGGATTTGCATATATGACATGAGATTTTTTTAATACATAAGACACATTTAATAGTGTCTAATAGCAGATATGGGACGTGGGTGGCGCTGTGGGTTAAACC